AAATGTCTAAATCTTAATACAATTATGATGTTTTTTATTCCCCTCCTGTTTAAAGAGACACGTGGAAAACAGTAAAACGTTATTAATGACAACAAGTAAGTTTTTTTAGTATACAATGGTTACAGGATACATTTGAGGCTATGTTATAGTTGTCAAATTTTAGCAGTTTAAAGTTTCAATTACTTTACAAAGCGCATGCCCAAGAAGAAAAACGTCATGTTCAGGTGAAGACATGTTGAGTTGAGTATGTCTGCACGTATGACCTTGATTGCTGTTGATGCTACCGTAAGATCCGTATGTGTTTTATGGTCCTTTTGTTTACAAAGACCCAGTTTAGTAAATTCGGAAGGACACCCACTCCATGTGATGTTGTCCCTTTCGGTTGTTGTGGAGTACATACGGTAGATGTCCAACCGATTTGTTTGCAAGCAGCAGTCGATGTGTTTGTAATCCGACCATTGAAAGAGCCGTTATTTAGCAGTGTAAACAGCAGGTATCACTCTTCCGGTTTTCAAGGTTTGCTTTTCTTAATAGGGACGTCATGTTATTGTATTATTATTCTTATGTTCATTGATGAGACAGTAGACCTATCGATGCTATTACCATTAGGCAGCAGCACGCTTGTGGTACTTGGAGATTTGTTTTTCAAAATTCGTTTAATAGTTTCTTAAAATACATTTATAAACATTTAAGCAAATTTTCTCAAAATATTTAAATGCTGGCAAAAGCGCATCCTCAATACAGCTACGTTTTCATTTCAGGAAAAAGTCGAACCGATTTCACTCTCGATCAAAACGTTTTCTTGTAAGGGAAGTGTGTAATCATTCGCAGTTATGGTGAATAATAGGAGTTGTGATAATGTTGTTTTACTTTTCAATTTGATGTCCAGAATATATTTTGCAATTAGTGATACAGTACTTACAACTAATCAAAGTGTAATTTTAAAACGCACCGCACCGTGTCGTTGTTAACCAGGGAACTGGTTTCAAGATTTTACTGAAAAGAAAATCCCACCTCCACAGGGCTTGTTTATGCTTTCCGACTATGAAAGCCATACTGATTTAGTTCGTAGGCCAGGTCGGTGTCTTTTATGGATCCTGGATTTGTTTAATCCCGTGTCTCTACGCTATAATGCTTTGGGATGCATTTTGTTGGATTTATCTGGATGAACGCAGTCGTCTCGCCTAATTTTATGACATACTGGAAGTGTTCATCATGAGACAAAGAACACAAAACAAAGGATTTCTCTTTCAGTGGATGATTGTGCGGTTTGCTGTTTTGTGTTTCTGGGGAAGCGCGTCTGCACAAATAAGGTACAGTATTCCCGAGGAGATAAAGCAGGGATCTATTGTAGGGAATATCGCAAAGGATCTGGGACTTGATATGAAGAGTTTAGTGGACCGAAGGTTTCGCGTTGTTTCTGGATCGAAAGAGCCGCTTTTGCAGGCTAATCGGAACGACGGCATATTGTATGTTGGTAAAAATATCGACAGAGAGGAGCTGTGTGAGAGAAGTAGTGTGTGTTTGTTAAATGTGAAAATCGTTGTTGAAAACCCTCTAGAAATTCATCATGTTGCAGTAGAAATCGTGGACATAAACGATCATTCTCCGAGCTTTCCTGAACACGAAAAGCGCTTGGAAATTGCAGAGGTGACACTGCCCGGAGCAAGATTTCAGTTAGACAGCGCGCAGGACCCAGATATAGGCGTGAATACACTGCGCTTTTACAAATTAAGCCAAAATGAACATTTTGAACTTGAAGTGCGCGATAGGGGAGAAGACAACAAAATTCCATTTTTGATACTGAAAAACCCTTTGGACAGAGAACTCAATCGAGAACACAAACTGCTCCTCACAGCCTTTGACGGTGGCAATCCCCAAAGATCAGGGACTCTGAATATTACCATCGCCGTGCTTGATATAAACGATAACAGACCTATATTTAGTCAAGAGGTCTACACGGTGTCTTTGTTGGAAAATGCTCCCCTTGGGACAATTGTTACGAGAGTAAACGCTACAGATTTGGATGAAGGCCAGAACGGAGAAGTCATTTATTCATTAGGAAACACCGCAAAAAGCAAAGTGTATGAGCTTTTCGACTTAGATGTTATCACTGGTGAAATTACAGTTAAAGGTAGTATAGATTTTGAAGAAAGGGATGTGTATGAGTTAAACGTGCAGGCCTCTGACAAAGGCCATGTCCCCTCGAGTACGGATTGCACTGTTGTTGTAAAGATCACCGATGTGAATGATAATGCACCAGATATAGATATAACTTCCTTGTCTAACGTGATTTCCGAGGATTCGAGCCCCGGTACTGTCATAGCTCTCGTCAGTGTAACAGACCTGGATTCTGGCGCTAATGGACGAGTGGTCTGCACAGTGTCAGAGAATGTGCCGTTTGACATGAAATCGTCTTTTCAGGACAACTTGTATTCGTTAGTAACCAATTCACATTTGGACCGAGAAACGGTGCCTCAGTATAATATAACTATAATTGCGAAAGACTCCGGTCAGCCTTCATTATCGTCCTTGAAAACAATTCAGGTCACGGTATCGGATGTAAATGATAACAGTCCCAAATTTTCTCAAAGCTTGTATTCATTTTACTTAGCTGAAAATAATATTCCGGGGGTTCCGATATTCACAGTAACAGCGTCTGACAGGGACATGAACGAAAACGCCCTTGTTTCCTATCATATTTCGGACGACACTGAAAGTTTTGTGTTATCTTCCTTGAACATTAACTCTGAAAATGGAAATGTTTATGCTCTAAAAAGCTTCGACTTTGAGAACATTAAAAAGTTTGATTTCCAGGTTATAGCGAAAGACGCGGGGGTGCCTTGTCTAAGCAGCAGTGTAACAGTGAATGTTTTTATTCTCGATCAAAATGACAATGCTCCAGTGATTCTGCCGCCATTAAGTGCAAAAGGGTCCGAGGAACCTGTCGTGGAAGTACCCCGGAGCGTGAATGCAGGTTACCTTGTAACTAAAGTGCGAGCCTATGATGCTGACATAGGCTACAACGCATGGTTGTCGTTTTCACTTCAGCACATCACGGATTCCAGTCTCTTTGGATTAGAGAGATACACGGGTGAAATCAGGACACTTCGAACGTTCACTGAAACAGATAAGACTGAGCACAAACTGATTATTGAAGTAAAAGACAACGGGAACGTTTCTCTGTCGGCCACAGTTACTCTACTCATCAGCACAGTGGAGAATTCTGTAACTGATGCTTTTTCAGGTGCTAAAAGCACAGCTGCCGTTCACGAGGAAAATAACACAACGTTTTATTTAATAGTAACTCTAGGATCAGTGTCATTTTTATTTGTGATGAGTATAATCGCACTTGTTGCCATGCAGTGTTGCAGACCTAAAGGTTATTTGACGAGTAAGTTTTCACGGGATACAAATCTCACAGACATCAGCGGGAACGGAACTCTCTGCCACAGCATTCAATACAGAGGCGGAGAGAAGCGCTACATGCTAGTGGGACCCAGGACGAGTATAGGGTCTGCTGTCGTTGGTCTCAGAAGCAATGGGAACACTCTACGCGTCCAGGAGAGAGGAGATCATGGTCCTGGTGAGGTAAGATCGATTCATATACGCACAGAAATGTATTCTGTGCAATATTTTTGAAAATGACAAATCTGACTTTGTGTTGCACTTTTAGAACGTTTTAGGTATTTTCCGTACGTTGCTTTCCCGTAAAGACTCAAATGTGAAATGATGATTTCGACTCTGAAGTATGTTGTTAATTGGAAGCGTAGGCCTTTTGTTATGTGGGAAATGTCAAATGCAAATGCGAGAGGGAGTGGATAGGCTATGTTCCCTAAACGTCAGTCGGACGTGATGAAAATTAGATTGCTGCGGTTTGCAGAGGTTTTGAAAACTTTCAGTAAAAGGCTCACTCTAAGCGAAATTTCAATAGTCTACAGTTAAATATTGTAACTACGTGACACTTGACATTGTAAGAAAAGACAGTTACGAACATTACACTAGCAATGCCTATCTTAGCATTGTTAAAGTTTTTATTTCTTGAGTGAAAATGTAACCTTTTGTTAGATGAGCGGTTCTCAGCTTTTTAATGATTATTTCCTTAATTAAAATAGAAAGTAGAATACAAGGTTTCTGAATGCAGATTTGGAAGTATTTTGTATACCTCAGGCAGTCCTATCATGTACAGTGCCCTACAAAAGTATTGCGACAGCAAAGTTGAAAATGTCATTTCTGCTGAGAGTGAACGAATTTGTATTTGTTACCATGAAATTAATTTGAATTAGAAGTACGATATACAATACGTTTTATTTTGGGGTAATTCCAAGCATGCATATAATCGTATTAGAGGAAACAAACTGTGTTTAGGACACCGATTTATCGTGACCTTAGAACTGGGATGCATTTACATTATGTACATTTTAGAGCATAGAAATCAGTATATCTCTCTGAGGCAATAACCTCGTAAAATCCGCGAACCACTGAACTCACTGAACTCTTTTTGTAAGCCTTGGAAATTCTTTGCCGAGCCTTTGGTGTAGCAAATTTGAATTCTTGCTTATTTTTATAGGATATTCTATTTTTTTTCTTCATCATGTAACTACACCCTTGATTGGTTTAAAATCTAGAAGTTGATTTGACCATTTGTAGGCCGCAATTTCCAATACTCGTAAACTATTATTGTTTTAGTGTTTTTTTCCAATACATTTTATTAACAAAACTGTCAAGATTACATGTTTGTTTTAAATTAATATATGGCATCTGATGTTGCTTTTCGAATAGGGTGTATAAGATCTCCTCGTGAAACCTCAAACAAAACTGAACAAAAACGGTCCTTCTGAGTTATATAGAAGCTTGATAGTTTGAAGTTGCACGATTCTGTATTTAAAACACAACACTGAACTGTGGCGCATGGTGTCACTATTACACAAGAAAATGGTTTGAAATCAAAGCCCAGCCCCTTTCATTAGATATTTTTTATACAGGAACCTAGAGAAATGTGCGTGCTGTGTGGAGCAGAGCGGAGTTACGCTACGTAGACCGGATTAGATATTCTTTTTTATTTTCGTCAGGTGTTAATTTACAGCTTCGCATTTTTACACGTTTCAATTACGAACCCGAACGTGATTATATATTTTTCTTCTGGGCAGACTGGCTTGAATTATCAGCAATGAAAAACAGAGGACAAAGGCAAAGATGGGAGTACTCCTCTTGTGTGATTCTGCCTTTCGCTGTTGCACTCTGCTTTATGGAAAGAGCTTCTGCGCAGATAAGATACTCTGTTCCCGAAGAACTAAAACACGGCGCTGTGGTTGGGAATATTGCAAAAGACCTGGGACTTGACACTAGCACATTGACTGACAGGAGGTTCCGTGTTGTTTCTGGGTCTAAGGAGCCGCTTTTTCAGGTAAATGAGAACAATGGCGTCTTATATGTGAATAAAAATATCGACCGAGAGGAACTATGTGAGAACAATATCGCGTGTTTAATAAACCTAAAAACGGTGGTTGAGAACCCACTAGAAATCCATTATGTCGGAGTAGAAATTGTGGATATAAACGATCATTCTCCCAGTTTCCCCGAGGGAGAGAAACGATTGGAAATTGCTGAGTCTACGGTGCCGGGAGCGCGCTTCCAGCTACAGGCTGCGCGTGACCCTGATCTTGGGGTGAATTCAGTGCGTTTTTATAAACTGACTCAAAACGAGCACTTTGAACTGGAGATAAGAGACAGGGGTGAAGACAATAAAATTCCATTTTTAATATTAAATAAACCCCTGGACAGGGAACATAAAGCCGTTCACAAATTGCTTTTAACTGCATCTGACGGTGGAAACCCACCGAGATCTGGAACTCTCAACATCACAGTAACTGTTCTTGATAACAATGATAACAGGCCGCTCTTTGAAGAGGAGGTCTATTCGGCGACATTAAGGGAAAATATCCCAATAGGCACTGTGGTAATAAGAGTGAAAGCAACAGATGTCGACGATGGTGCGAATGGGGATGTGGTGTATGCGTTTGGAACTAACTTGAAAAGTAAAGTGTATGAACTTTTCGATTTAGACGTTAACACGGGCGAAATCAAGGTTAAAGGACAAATAGACTTTGAAGAGTCTGACATTCACCAGATTGACATACAAGCTTCCGATAAAGGACAGCCCCCCATGAGCGTAGACTGTAGCGTTATAATTAAAATTGAGGACGTGAACGACAACACGCCCGAGATAGACGTCACCTCCTTGTCTAACGTTATTTCCGAAGATTCAAAGCCGGGAACCCTGATCTCTCTTGTAAGTGTCAGTGATAGGGATTCTGGCGTGAATGGGCAAGTCGCGTGCAGCGTGTCTGAAGAGCTACCGTTTGAGCTGAAATCGTCCGTTCAGGATAACTTGTACTCCTTGGTAACTAAGGTGCGTTTGGACAGGGAATCGGTTTCCCAGTATAGTATAACAATAATCGCTAAAGATTGCGGAGACCCTTCTTTGTCATCCTTTAAAACCATAAGTGTTCAGATATCAGATGTGAATGATAACGCCCCAGTATTTTCAGAAAATCCCTATATGCTCTATTTGGTCGAGAATAACTCCCCGGGTGCTTCCATATTCTCTGTTAGCGCCTCTGATCGCGATTTAAATGAAAATGCTGAGGTTTCATATTATATTTTAAAAGGCGACGTGACGGGAAGCGATCTGTCATCTTTCATCAATATCAATCCCGAGAATGGAAACATTTATGCCTTAAAGAGCTTTGACTTTGAAGCACAAAAAAACTTTCTATTCCAAGTTACAGCCAAAGACGCTGGAGTGCCATCGCTGAGCACCAACGTCACAGTGAACGTTTTCATTCTGGATCAGAACGACAATGCTCCCGTGATCTTGTCTCCTTTAAGTTCAAACGGATCAGCTGAAGCTGTCGTGGAAATTGCTCGAAACGTTAATGCAGGGTATCTCGTAACCAAAGTGCGAGCCTACGATGCCGATATAGGATACAACGCCTGGTTATCCTTTTCAGTGCTGCAAATTACGGACCCCAGCCTTTTTAGCCTGGAACGCTACACAGGAGAAATTAGGACACTTCGCCCATTCACGGAAAGTGACGACAGTGAACAGAAAGTGATTGTACAGGCGAGAGACAATGGGGACGTTTCTCTCTCAGCGACAGCAACAATACGTATCGTTATAGTTGAAAAGACAGAATCGTTTGCCGTCTCCGACTTTAAACATCCGGCTAAACACCAAGAGGACAATAATGTGACTTTTTACTTGATTGTGACTCTGGGATCAGTTTCGTTTTTGTTTTTGATGAGTATCGTCACCCTGGTTTCCATGCAGTGCTGTATGCGCAAAAGCCATGCAAGTGAAAAAAATGACGCAGATGCCAGTGGGAACGGAACCCTTTGTCACAGTATCCATTACAGAGCCGGGGAGAAAAGATACATGTTAGTTGACCCCAGAATGAGTATAGGCTCTACAATTGGTCTTGGAAGCAACGGGAACACTCTAGTTGTCTCAGAGAAGCGAAGGCAATCTTCCGGAGAGGTGAGGGTATGTCGCCGTTTGATCAAATAAATCAACAAAATAATGATATTTTGATTATAAGATTTTTCCTTATACTTTAATGTGTATATTTATGAAACACTGGTTAGTTTCTCATAGCTGGATGTCATTGGTTGAGCTGTTTGAAGGGAAGACAACTTCAAAAAGCTAACATAGCAAATATGCTGAATAGTTTTATTTTCGGCGCTGTCCCATTGCAAAAACAAAGTTGCGTCATGCTTTGCTTGTGCCTTTGGACATCATAAAGATTGGATTTCAAATTTAGACAGTCTCTATCTGTTGCGGCAGCCTAGAATTTACCATCAAAACATACAGTATTTTATTTACAGTAATACATAAAATGGGAAAAAAACAAGTTTTCTTGCATTAATCACAAAATGTAAATGATTAAACCCTGAAGTGAAGAGTGAAGTGCAGGAAGCTCACTGTTAAAATCTGTGGACATTCCATTACAATGCTGAATCCAAGGGGTTCTAACAGAACAATGTATCTATGTTTAAGATACATTCATGAATCACTGACATGCAATAATACTAAAATAATACAACAATGCGTCCTTTGCTACTAATGAATCTGGCGACTGGAAAAGTTCGAGGACACATTTAAAAACCAGTTTAAGATAAGTGTCTTCTAGTACCTCTAATGCACAGCAGGTTGATTTGTTTTGCAGTAAACCTGTAAAACGTTTGTGGTCGGTGATTGATTATTTAGGCTGTCTGATTGCTATGCATGGATTAATTCATTTGGAGAAGGTACGTCTTGGTCCAGCAGACAGGGGTGCCCTTGGAGATTATCTCAGAAGGATGTGTCCCATTGTGGACCTTTGTAGTGTTTGTTATTGTCATGGAAGCCGGGTTGGTCTCCGGTGGAGGATGGTGTTTAGACCCTGTGTGAGGCAGCAAATCCGGAAAAAGGACCATAGACAGGGTTCAGGGGAGACACACAAGGTTTATTGGTGCTCACAGTGAAGTAGGGAAGGTGGTGCAGATGTGCGGGGAATATCCAAAGGCAAACATATCCAAGGAGGTTCAAGGGGGAGTCAGGAAGCAGTCCATAAGTCCATTGCTGGGAGATGCATCAGGAGACGCAGACAAACAGGAACACACGACGAGACAAGAATCCAGGAAATACGGGGCTCCCTTCCAAACCCCAGGCTCAGTGGGTCGGGAAGCGTAAACAGGCCTGTGCCCTCAGGCTTCCTCGGGAAGCCTGGTGGTAGGCAGGCCATTGGGCTACCGTATTCCAGAGCTGAGCCCCGAAGGCAGGAAGGACTAAACTTAAATAGGGAAGCTAAAACAAGGCACAACAGGAAATAATGCAGGTAATAACTAAAAGGACTAATATAAGGAGGTTGGAGCACCCTCTGTAAGAGAGGGTGGTGACCTTAACAGTTATAGATTCTAGGCTATTCTATATGCTTATACTGTAGCTGTAGCATTTTAAAGCTTATTTCACGGCTTCTGTACTTCTTTGTTGGTTGTAGATAACAGTAAACATTATATAGGATAATTAGAGAAGTTCTGTTATTGGTGTTTCTTACTGCTAGCACATTTGTCATTTGTACCCGTTGCTTACCTCTGGCTCTGTCTCCCCTCTAACCCTGTTTTTGATAGTGTGGCTAGGAATTGGATGGATGGACTAGAACTGAGTTTAGTTTTGAAAATGGACTCCTCTGGAAGAACACAATTTAAATAACCAATACTATACCCTCACAGATCTCCTGTTTGTGTGTTTATTTCTCCCAGACTGTATTAGAAATCAAAAACACAATTGCTGCAAATACATTTGAGTTTAAAATGTTGGGAATAAAAAAATGAATTCTAGCAGACATTTGGAGATGAGAACATGTATTGCAGAATGAATGAGAGCCGATTTGTTTGCAGTGAATTGTATTGTTGGGATGATGTAAGAATGATGTAGTGGTACTTTACCTGTTACTTGAATGTCCACTGCTGAGTGAACAAATTGCATTTTGTAGGTTATTAAAGGTAAGAAGAAGGAGAATACACCATATGAGCATCTTTAGGTCTATAAAATGTTTTGTTTTCCAGTAGATCCTACAAAAAAATGGGCATATGATAATCTTTTTATAGTCTCCATGGTGACACTTAAGCTTAAAATAGTGCTGCGAAAAAAGCAGAACAACACAAGGACAAATTCAGCCAGAGTGAGGAGGATGTCTTTTGGGAACTCTGTTACTGTCCAGTTATCATTTACCTCTTCCACTGCAATTAAACCTACGCTGTAGGGAGTTGCAGTGCGTAGTCTTTTAATATCTGTTGCAAAACTATCAGACCCTGCTGTTCTTTGAAATGGTCCAATATTTGAAAACAAATGTGTGGGATTTTTTATTCTTTAAGTGGGCATTGATTAAACAATAGTTTTGATCAGTAACAATATTACAGATCCAGTATGTCAGTGGAGTGGGCACTGACTCTTGGTTGGGCTGCCTGGGTCATAGTGTTTGTGAACCTAAGGCAGTAATTAGCGATTAACAAAAATAAGGATTTTCAACAATTAGATTGTGCTTATTTTCTATTAGCTTTAAAACTGAAAATAATAAATCTTTAGATGTAAAGTGAAATCAGTGTCTGTATTAATGTAGAATACAATAGGCATCAGAGCTGTCTTTGGGCTTTTTTGTGGTCCTTCCTCAGAGTTGAAACTATTCCTGTGTTATCATATCACTTCTGTAGTGCATTTTTTTTCTTTGATAGGGTAAGGTGTTGTATTAGTCAACTATATCTCATTGTCGAGTTTCCCTTTCACATTTGTCCATAATAAACGGAGAAGCTAAATAAAGCTGGGAATGGTCAATACTGGGATGAGAGGCCTCTAACGAAAACCACGTTACTGCTATAAGTGGTGAGCAATTAGGTTGTACTTACCCCTTTCTGGACTTCCAACACCAATATGAATTTATTTTAACTTAAAGACACGAGAAGCTGCTCATCAACGATTACTATTAAATGTTGCGTTACGATTGTATACTTACCGCTATAATATAGATCACCGAAATAATATAAATATGCTACATAAAATAATATTTTATTAGATAAGGACGCATGGTGTCACTGTTACACAGCAGGAAGGATTCGGGACGTCACAAAAGGACGAAGCCCGTCCCCTTTCAAAGCTCGTACACAGAGACAGGCATAAGAGTTGTCTGTGCTTAGTAAAAGACAGGCCACGGGGATTTTATTTCTAGACTTCTTCGAGGACGACTTATAAGTGGATTTAACAGTTTTCATGCTTTCAGGTCTTTTTGAAGAACTATCAGTTTGGCATAAAACAAGAAAAACTGGAATATTTCGTCATGATCTTGGGAGCTAGACAGCTGAGAAGCAGGGGGATGATTCTGCATTGTGCTCTTCTTTTCTGCTTTTTCAAACGCGTTTGTTCGCAGTTACGCTACTCCATTCCCGAGGAATCGGAACAGGGAGCTGTTGTAGGAAATATTGCCAAGGATCTGGGACTGGATGTGAGAAAACTAACAGAGCGAAGGTTTCGCATTGTCTCAGGGTCTAAGGAACAGCTTCTGCAGGTAAATGAAAACAATGGCATTTTGTTCGTTGATAAAAATATCGATAGGGAGGAGCTGTGTGGGAAAAGCAGCCCCTGCTCAATTAACCTGAAAACCGTCATAGAGAACCCGCTAGAAATCCATTACGTGGGAATCGAAATTGTGGATATAAACGATCATTCGCCGGAATTCCCGGTGAAAGGGAAGCACCTGGAAATAGCGGAGTCAACCCTGCCGGGATCGCGCTTCCCCCTTGAAGCTGCGCGCGACCCAGATGTGGGTATTAACTCACTGCGCTTTTATAAACTGAGTCAAAATGATTACTTTGAACTGGAAGTAAAAGACCGCGGTGAGGAAGGTAAAATTCCCTTCTTGATCTTGAAAAAGCAACTGGACAGAGAGCTGGAGCCTGAGATCAATTTGCTTTTGACTGCTTATGACGGTGGAAAGCCGGAACGAAAAGGCTCTGTCAATATTACCGTCACAGTTATTGACATCAACGATAACGCGCCTGTGTTCGATCAACAGGTGTACTCGGTTGAGCTAGATGAAAATGTTCCAGTGGGTACTTTTGTAATTAAAGTTCATGCTACAGATTTGGACGATGGCGCAAATCGAGAAGTTGTATATTCGTTCGACAGCAGTTTAAGAAATAACGCGTTTGATCTGTTTCAGTTAGACGCCAACACAGGTGAAATCACAGTGAAGGGGCTGATAGACTTCGAAGAGAGGCGAATTTATGAGATTGATGTACAAGCAACTGACAAGGGTCAAGTATCATTGACAGGACACTGTAGTGTCGTAATAAAAATCAAAGATGTAAACGACAATGCACCAGAGATAGAGGTGACCTCTTTGACTAGCCAGATCTCGGAAGACTCGGGCCCTGGTACTGCGATTGCGCTGATAAGTGTAGCGGATATTGATTCTGACAACAATGGTCAGATTGTGTGCACGCTCTCAGACAACGTTCCATTCGAATTGAAAACGTCATTTCAGGAAAACATGTATTCTTTGGTAACCAAAGGCCGACTGGATCGGGAATCAGTTTCTAAATACAATATTACAATAACGGCAAAGGACAGCGGGCAGCCTGCCTTGTCGTCTTTTAAAACTATAATGGTAGAGGTATGTGATATCAACGATAACAGCCCAGTATTTTCATCAAGCCCTTATACGTTTTACCTCGCTGAAAATAACCCTCCCGGTAGTTCTGTATTCACTGTCAGCGCTTCCGATCGTGATCAAAATGAAAACGCTCATGTTTCATATCACATTTGGAAAGGAGACAGCGCACAAAATTCTGTGGCACTTTACTTAAATATTAATTCTGAAAACGGAAATATTTATTCCCTAAAAAGCTTCGATTTTGAAAGTCTTAAGAGTTTTAATTTTCAAGTTATAGCAAAGGACTCCGGAGTACCTTCGCTAAGCACAAACGTCACGGTGAACGTTTTTATTCTCGATCAGAACGACAACGCTCCGGTGATCTTGTCTCCGTTAAGCACTAACGGATCTGCTGAGGCTGCAATAGAAGTTCCCAGGAGTGTGAATCCAGGCTATTTGGTTGCTAAAGTACGGGCATATGATGCAGATATAGGATACAACGCCTGGTTATCATTTTCACTGCTCCATGTTAGTGACCACAGTCTCTTTAGTTTGGAGCGCTACACGGGAGAGATCAGGACACTTCGTCCATTCACGGAAGCAGATGACACTGAATTTAAATTGATCATCCAGGTAAAAGACAATGGGAACGTGTCACTTTCAACAACGGCGACAATACTTATTACTACTGTTGAGAGAGTGGAGTCTTTCGCAGTGTCAGACTTCAAAAAGGCGGGAGAAGTCCAAAAAGAAAATAATTTAACATTTTATCTAATGGTAGCCTTGGGGTCGGTTTCTGCCCTTTTTGTGATCAGTATCATCCTCTTGGTTGTAATCCAGTGCTCCAGAGGGAGGGACGACTCTTCTAGGTATTCACAAGATAAGACTTACGCAGACGTTAGCGGGAACGGAACCCTTTGCCACAGTATCCAGTACAGAGCCGGAGAGAAGCGCTACATGTTAGTGGGACCCAGAACGAGTATAGGCTCTACAATAGGTTTGGGAAGCCATGGGAACACTCTGGTCATCCCAGACACTCGAAAGAAAACATCGGAAGAGGTAAGCGTCCAGCCCATTGTATTTGATCAGTCAAATTAAAACTAACTGTATTTACTCATAGTTAACTAAGTACATATAGAAAGTGATGCGATTGTATTCTGTTCTATGGGTGATGTGAGAAACGAACAGCCTATTATAAAAAGGCCTACTTTCTGCAATGTGGAATAACGCAGGAAAGATGAGCACGGTGATTTGTGTTAATCGATGCTTTGCTAGCCGTTTGCAAGTCTCATTGGTTCTGCTGGCTCTATCAAGGACTGTGGGGTGTAAGTTCTGGTAATTTTGGTTTATTACTGCATAGATACACATTCGGAGTAAGCTTTTAGAGGATACTTCTTAAATTTTGCTTAAGTTACTGAAGGTCACCAGGATACAGCAAGGGTGTAAGAGGTACAATTCCCTATAATATGTTTTTTACCTTAAAATGAGGTATTGAAGTTTAACTGAAAGTTGAGTTTTTTTGTATTCAATGTACTGTATGTTTACATCAGTTACTATTAATACTGTGACTAGAGAGGTCGTGACTATATTTTATTTTTGTCAGTGCAGTAAATTCAGTAGATATAACGCAGATATTCATATCATTATTATTATTGCATTTGTGTTGAATTTTTTACGATGGCTTACTTTGGGAGCAGCGTTTCGCAAGTGACATCAAAAGAGCAATGCTTCTGAGGCAATTTTAAAGCTCGACAATAAAGTGGTGAGTTTTCCAAAAAAAAGTAGCGTAGTAGTCGGAGTGCTTGTATGGTTTGATTTAAAAGAGCGTAATCACCCTGTCTCGGCTTATCGGTTTTTATTATTTGCCCAGATGTTGTTGTTCTAATGGTGATGATCGATTAGTTAAATGTATAAAAAAGAGTTTCTATATGCAACCGTTGTGGTTCCACCGTAGCCTTGACAGTGTTTCCCAGAGGCTTTAGGCTTGCTGTCGCTGTCCACCAAGATGGTGCTGAAATGCAGCGGATCGGTGCTGATCAGATACTACCTCTGTCCGTTCTACATCGCAACATTTTTACTATTACATATTCACAGCCTTATAAAAGAGTGAAGACATTACTTTTATAAATGCAACATTCAGATTTGAAAAGGACATAAGAAAAGACATAAATGGGCGGGGGACATGTTTTCACATCTAGCCCGTTTCATAGAGGTAAATCGATTCCAGGATCTTCTCCAGTCATGTCTTGAAAGAAGCCCTCTGGTAGGTTGTTCCATACCCCCACATCATATGAATGATCGTTATTTACTTGATTCTTTAAAAGTAATAATACTTAATAATATGAATCAATATTGAAACACTAACGACCTTCTTTTTCGATCCATTCTTGAACCAGAGTCATACAATATCGAACAAACCCGAATAATACCGTGTAATTTATCCTTTCTTGGTCCTTAGATAAGCCATCTGTACTTATGATTACGATCTCTCGCTCTGAGAGGAGTTTGTAAAGTATGAGTTTTCTATATTTGGTTTGTAATCGAGATTAAAAAAATCAATTAGCTAAATCGTTATAATAAATTCAGTAGATTTGGCAAAACATTACAAAGGTTCTTTATATTTTATAAGGATTTGTACTGGAATGCTGGACTGAAAGGATAGATCTAAAAATAATTATTTTAAGTTAAGTGTTTTATTCGTGGAAGACTTTTTATATATTAAGAAAAGAAGCAATATCAAGAGATAATTACGTCATGAAATTCAGATTTAAGTGGAGACGCATGGTGTCGCTGTAATACAAGAATAAGGTCTGAAGTTCTCAGATTTAAAGCCCTGCCCCTCTAAGGGCCTTTCTGTGGTTACTGCCTTGGAGATGAGTTGTATTTACTCTTTGTTACAGGCCTAAAGAACGTACCAAGTGTGATGTTCATTAGGAATTCTATTTCAAGATGACGTGAAATTATTACATGATTTATTTTAAACATTCTGACGGAATAACGTCGACTGACTGGGATAAGTCGTCATGGAACAAGGACACAGAAAAGCACTGGAGTGCCAATGGATTGTATTATATTTTGCTTTCCTGTTTTGCTTTTGGCAAGATACTTCAGCACAGATAAGATACTCTATTCCCGAGGAGGTAAAAGATGGAGCTGTGGTTGGAAATATTGCAAAGGATCTGGGGCTTGACAGTAGAACATTAACAGACCGGAGGTTTCGAATTGTTTCTGGATCTAAAGATCCCCCATTTCAGGTAAATCAAAACGATGGCGCCCTGTATGTTAGTAAAAACATAGACAGAGAGGAGATGTGTGAGAGGAATAGCGTCTGTTTAATCAACTTAAAAACGGTTCTGGAAAACCCTCTAGAAATCCATTATGTTGCAGTAGAAGTGCTGGATGTAAATGACAATTCTCCAGAATTTCTAGAAAAAGAGAAGCGCTTAGAGATAGCCGAGTCTGCTTTGCCTGGAGCGAGATTCCAGCTGCAAGCCGCGCGTGACCCAGATGCTGGCGTTAATTCAGTGCAGGTTTATAAACTCGGGAAAAACGAGCATTTCCAATTGGAAGTCAAAGACCGTGGGGACGACAAAAAGATCCCCTTTTTAATACTACACAAGCCCCTAGACAGAGAAACCAACACCGAGCACAAACTATTACTAATTGCCCTTGATGGGGGAAATCCACAACGATCTGGGACACAGACTATCATTATAGATGTACTTGACGTTAATGACAACACACCTGTTTTCGATCAAGATATTTACTCGGTAACGTTGCAGGAAAATGTCCCAATAGGTACAAAAGTCATACAGCTAAATGCAACAGATTTAGACGATGGCCAAAACGGAAATGTTGTGTATTCATTTGGGAGTAATATAAACAGTAAAGTATACGAAGTTTTTGATTTAGACTCCAAGACGGGAGAAATTACAGTTAAAGGTTTAATAGATTTTGAAGAACAGGAGAGCTATGAGATAGATATACAGGCTTCAGATAATGGACAGGCGCCATTAACCATTGACAGCAGCGTTATAGTAAAGATACAGGATATGAACGACAACGTTCCAGAGATAGAAGTGACCTCTTTTTCAAGTACAGTTTCCGAGGATTCACGTCCTGGGACTATGATAGCTCTAATCAGCGTGAATGATAGAGATTCAGGCGTCAATGGCCAAGTGCTCTGCGTATTGTCTGAAAACATTCCGTTTGAACTGAAATCTTCATTTCAGGACAATATGTATTCTTTAGTAACCAAAGCAGTGTTGGATCGAGAGGTAGTTTCTCAGTACAGTATTACCATTATAGCCAAGGATAATGGTCAGCCTTCACTGTCGTCCGTTAAGACAATAACAGTAGATATATCAGATGTTAACGATAAATGCCCGGAGTTTTCTCAAAGTCCGTACACGTTCTACTTGTCCGAAAACAACGTCCCAGGACAGTCCATTCTGTCAGTGAGTGCTTCGGATGAGGACCTGAACGAAAATGCTCATATTTCTTATGAAATATGGAAAGGGGACAAGGACGATAACTCCATGGTACCCTATTTAAATGTGAATTCTGAAAATGGAAACGTTTATGCGACGAAAAGCTTTGACTTCGAGGAGCTCAAAAACTTTAAATTCATAGTCACAGCGAGAGACTCGGGAGTGCCGTCACTCAGCAGCACCGTCGCAGTAAACGTCTTTATTCTGGATCAGAACGACAATGCTCCAGTGGTTTTATTTCCTTTGAGTGCTAACGGATCTGCAGAAACTGTCGTGGAAATTCCCCGGAGTGTGAATGCGGGGCATTTGGTAACTAAAGTCCGAGCCTATGATGCCGATATAGGATACAACGCCTGGCTATCGTTTTCACTGCTCCAGGTTACTGACCCCAGTCTCTTTAGTTTACAGCGCTACACGGGAGAAATCCGGACACTTCGTCCCCTCACTGAAGCGGACGGCACCGAACATAAACTGATCGTCCAAGTAAAAGACAATGGGAACTATTCGCTTTCTACAACAGCAACCGTGCTTATTGTTACAATTGAGAAGTCAGAATCCTTTGCAGTTTCGGACTTTAAACTCAAGGCTGCCGCGCAGGAAGAAAACAACTCGACATTTTATTTAATTATATCTTTGGGGTCGGTTTCATTTTTATTTGTGATCAGTGTGATCACACTTGTCACCTTGCAGTGCTGCAGACTGAGGAATAATCTGACCAGCAGGTCGCTCCGGGATAGTAAATACTCGGAAGTCAGCGGGAATGGAACCCTTTGCCACAGTATCCAGTACAGAGCCGGAGAGAAGCGCTACATGTTAGTGGGACCCAGAACGAGCATAGGTTCGACAATTGGCGTGGGAAGCAATAGAAACACTCTGGTCATTTCCGAACCTAAAGGGAATACTTCGGAAGTGGTAAGTGTTTCAACAAAGTAGTAAAAGAGTTTCTTTAAATCTTCCATTTACTCACAAACTACCGAAAAACATTTTTACAAATGATAGAAACACACATTCAGAAGTCTTTTTGTATGTCGCAGGCTTGAGAAGTCCCTTATTTGCCCTTTTATCACTACATCGGTGTTTTAGGTGTTCCCTTTTTAGCAATCGTTGTGTACTGTACGTGGCTGTGCTGCTTTGTCGCTGTAAACTACATTTCCCAACATCCATTGCAGTCAGAGGCTCCCAGCTGCAAAAACAAAGACCTGACAACAGATTGTAATAAATATGCAAGTGCACGGAGAACCATTGCTGAAAAAATGACAGATTATTAAAATTTAAGTAATACACAAAACTCTTTAGAAAGGCTCTTTATTGTTGTAAAAAGGTGAGCAACGAGGACAAAAGTGTTTGGGCCTCTTTCAGTCAGGTATGTCCATGTTTTCTTTATTTACATCTTTCTTGTAGAATCACCACTGATGCTAAGTCACAAACATATAACAATGTTCGATTTGCGTACAGGTACTTTTAATAACTTGGAGACAATAGAACTCGATTTGCTTGGTTTAACGACTGTGGTTTCGTATTGTTTGCCCAGATCAAGACTAAGACCCTTTTCTTTTTTTATTTTCTATTTCACAGTCATGCGTATTCATCTTGTAAATGCGAAGCTGTTGTATTTGTGTTGTGTTGTACTGCTGATTTGGCTTACGGTATTTCATTCACTGTCACAATTAGCCCGTTATTCATTGTCATAACCCCATCATAAGCGATTTCAATACATTTCGAAGTGTGTTTTCATCAACAGCAGTAACTGAGTTAAGCAGCAGCAGCAGCAATAATAATAATAATAATAATAATAATAATAATAATAAAAAATAAAGTAGAGATTAAAGAAGAAAACAACACAACATTACGGGTGAGAAGGGTGAGAAAAGGCATCAGAGCTGAAATGAGTTTCTGTCTAACCCTCCTATTCAGCTCGTACGCGGATGCAGCTCCCCACTCTAACCTCTGCAGAATAAGCATCATTTAATATTCAGGTATTATAATTAGATTTCTATTTTAAGTTCAGTGATATTCCAAAGCTGTAAGACTTATTTATTGGAGGGTATTTTTTCCCCTGGTTATTATCATATAAGAATAGCAGTGATAGCGGTAAATTTATCGACAGTCCCTGGAAGACAAGTGAGGGCTTTGATCTCCTCAGCTCGGGCGGCAGTGTCGGTGGATGCCTGCGGCGCTGGTGGTGATTCAGCTTGGCTGTCTTGTGTGGGTTTACGTGCGGCACGGTTTTCCCTGGAGTTGCTTTTCAGCTGAGATAAATTATGTATATGTTTAAGAGAGGAACAAGCCTCTCGCTGCCTGGACGCGTGCTTTGGAAAAAAAAAAAAGAAGGAAGATACTTTTTAATTTAAAGCATGTTTAATGCCCCGTTGCTCTTTTTTTCCCCTTGATCAATTTCCTTGATCGATTTTTTTTCAAGATCGTGAAACTGCTGTAATGATTTGAATACACTGCTTTCAAAGCGTATAAAATATTGAAGCGATCCCCCTAGTTTCCCTTTGCACAAGCGGCGATTTCGATTTTTAAGAACTGTATTTTCTTTTCACAAATAAATACAGGGAATCACAAAATAGAAAGGTTTACATTAATACACATACTTAAAACAGTATATATGATCACATCTCAATTAGTTTTGACACGGTAACAGTTACATAGCAACAATTTATCTTGTATCGGTGCAAATCCCATTCTTTACTTTAACATGATTTTCACACCTTCTTGAGATAGGTCCTATGCCGTCTATTTCACACAGATTTTCTGCTTCCTCCCTCCCTCCTCTCCACAGATCTCTGAGGTAATAGTTCTCTCGGGTAATGAATAGGGCCAGGCTACCTGCTGCCTTGACTTTTTTTTTTTTATAATATTTCTTTATTAGCCCTATACAATTTCTTGCATTAGGAATGCGTCTTTTCGCATACCCCAGCTTTTCTCCAGGGAGACACAGACACACACACAGGGAGAGAAGCTTGGGGTCAGAGCACAGGGTCTGCCATTGTACGGCGCCCCTGGAGCAGTTGGGGTTAAGGGCCTTGCTCAGGGGCCCAACGGAGTAGGATTCCTCTGCCGGCCGCGGGATTTGAACCGGCAACCTGCTGCCTTGACTGGGACCTCAAGGGAGACAAGAGACTCGCACTGCAGTGTCTCTAGGTTCTTTGCCCTTGTCAGGTACGCGGGCGTGCTAGTCACTCAGACAGGGGAGGCAGGCAGGAGACGAGGAAGGGAGAGAGAGTCACGGCAGCAACCGCCAAGGCATAGGGGTTAGGAGCGAGAGAGAGAAACACACTGTACCTACTGCACTGTGACAGATATTCTGGGATTAGAGACACATTCTTCCCCAGATGTACAAATCTAATCCCAGAATTCCCACGCCTGCCAGACTCACAACAACTCCCCAATTCATACGGGAGAGGGAGGAGGGAACTCAGTTGAATCGGCAGCCCAGTATGTGACCTCCTGACACAGCCTGAGGAGCAGTGAGCTTTATGTGTCTGTATTGCAAATGTATGTAGATTTGTTCATGTTAATTGTATTTGTTTTGCTTTGGCAACACTGATTTTACTCATTGGTCATGCTGATAAAGCACCCCCCCCCCACACACACACACACACCGCTATTTTGTATAGTAGGGGGGCAATGAGTCTGCATACTTGAATAGTCAAGCTCGGGTGCTCGGGCTCCCAGGCATCCTGCTTCTGGGAGCGGGACGCTACCATATTCCGAATAGTCAGTTGCTCTTTACTGAATACTCCAAATTATTAAAAGGCAGCATAGTTGGTCAGCTTTGCCTTGTCCAGCTTTTATAATGCTCACTGGTCAAAAGACAATTCAGCAGTATGTTTTGAACGGCACAGATTATTATTTACAGAAGACTAACTCTTTCATCTAGTGAAAGCTAATTTGATAATTTTTCATCTTCACTTCTGTTGCTATTTTGGAGCTGTTTAAGATTCAGTCTTTGATGCTGTGTATGCAAGGTCTGTGTGAATGCTAATGGAATTGAATAAGTACAGGATATTGCAAAATGTCATGTGTAAGTATAAGTACTTATACTGATATTCATACAGTATACTGAATTTTCAGTATATGAAGTATATTGTTATGAAAATCGTAAAAATTAGGATTTGACTGAGCGGTTTAGTCAATAAGTAAAGTAATTATTCCTAACCCCCAACTTGTAAGTGATTTCTCTATAATTTCTCTAGTAATCTGTGATGATCCTATTAGCTAATACCCAGGCACATCCTTTAAGTTAAACCTCGTAATACATTTCTGTAAGTCATTGAGAAACAAAATATTTTCATGTTTTTTTTATCTTTACAAAATCTTTGCTTCCCGAAAATGTTATTTAGTAGACAGAGACCAAACTCTTTGGATTATAGATTTTCTTTTGAGTCAGCCTGTATGGAATGTACCTTGACAGCCTACAAATTGTGTGAATTGTGTGTGAAAGGGAGAAAAAATAAAATGTTTTATTAGAGCAAAATAATAGTTTGTATAACCCAAATAAACAGTGGCTGGCAAATTCGAGCTACAGCAGCTTTTGGAAGCACAGTGCTCTTATTAAGCCATTCACATTACGTTACTAGGCCTTAAGCGGTTTTCACTGGATGAACATGTCTTCTTTCATAAGTACAAGTGGAGGAAGTGATGCTGGGCATGAAGTGAGCATTTTGACTCTCTCTCCATCCCCCATCCTTGCTACACAGCCGAATGATGTCATGTTAATGGGCTCCCCCTCCCCCACCCCTCGCAGAGCTCCTCAATTGAGACTGTCAGAAAAATGACATTGCAGAAGATTGAAAACCCTTACTAAAGATCATTCTTATTCTTAGCACAGTAAATCTGTAACACTTAGGATATTGATCACCCATGATATATGGTTTCCGGTAACTTATAATTCATTAAATTCATATCGCCTATTAAGTCTTTGCATCATTCTAATTCATTTTGCTTTTTATTATGTGCTCTGTTATGTGCTGGTTTAATGGATTTAATATTATAAATTAGGGAAAAGAATTCATGCAAAGACTGGTAATATAATGTGGCCGAAAAGGTTTAACCATGAGGTCTACATAGTTAGTAGGCCTTTAAAGTTAAAAGTTAAGACACTAAATACTGGGCTGTTACACTCCTTAAAGGTGGTCTGGATCTGTTCACATGTGTTGGTATAGTTTGGTAATCTGTTAGAAACCTAACTAGATATCTTTTGGTAAAGGTTGTCAAAAAAAGTTTCAGAGAAAACAAAATTCAAACTTTTTAAGAATTTATTCTCTGTGGGTTGTCTGAAGGTCTAGGATTTTGAAGGTGTTCTTCAGCTGTATTAGGCCATATTGGGTTTTGCAGTGTTTTTCCATTTTGTGTTATGTTATGTTATAAGACTGTTATGTGTTTAATTTGATTCTCTGTTGCTGATACTCCTTTAAGTCATTTTACTGAAGATTTGCTAATACAGCAAAACTACCTTCAGA